CCCTAAACCCTAAACCCAAAACCCTTTTAGGGTTCATACTTGGTCCCCAAGGTAGAGACTGCCGTGGCCGCACTTTGGGTGGGCAGCTGGGTGACGATGCTGGTGCTTTCAACAATCAGTTCTGTGGTTGGGGATGTTTTTAGGGTTTAGGGTTTAGGGCTTAGGGTTTAGGGTTTAGGGTTTAGGGTCCCCCTTATACTAACAGTCCTTAGTAGGGATTATGGTACCCCTTGTTTTAGTCCCTAGTAAGGACTGTTAGTTTAAGGGGGAAAATCCCCAACCATGGTTGTCATCATTGTTATGACGGTTGCTACTGCGAGCAGAAAGAGCAAGGCAACCATTTTCACTTCTGTCCAAGTACCCGTCCAGGTGTTCGTGCTGTGCACAGTTTTTTTCCCGAGCACTCCTTCATTTGCGCTGCTTCCTGCCCTGCTACCCGCGTACTGCGTGCTCCACTTCTTGCGAAGGAAGATGCTTGTCTCAGTCTTAGAGTTCAGGTTTAGGGTTCAGGGTTCAGGGTTCAGGGTTCAGGGTTCAGGGTTTAGGGTTTAGGGTTTAGGGTTTAGGGGTTAGATGTTGCAGGCCTGTAGTCAGCTCAGGATGCTTTACATCTTGCTTCGACATGGGTATTAGGGCACGAAAGGCTTGAACGCCAACAAACCCCAAAACCCTTCAAGCAAGCCCAGACCCCTTCACCCCCGCAGTCTCAACCTCAAAACCCTCCAGCCTCAAGACCCTAGACCCTAAACCCTCCTTAGCACCTAAACCCTAAACCCTAAACCCTAAACCCTAAACCCTAAACCCTAAACCCTAAACCCTCCTAAACACCTAAGCCTTACCCAAGGATGAGGGCAAAGCGCCAGCTCCTGGACGAGCTGAGCAACTTCAGGCTCAGCAAAGTGAGCTGCCAGGAGGACTTTGACAGAGAGCGCCTGGGGTTTAGGGTTTAGGGTTTAGGGTTTGGGGTGTAGGGTTTAGGGTTTAGGGTTTAGGGTTTTGCAACTTGTTCATGGCCAATATAGGGGTCGGAATAGTTACAAAGAGTATTGCCTTCGGGTCCCTACATCACAAATATGGGCTTGTTTTGTTTTTTTTTTTGGGGGGGGGGGGCGGGGCCCAGGTTTAAGAAGGGCACACGGGTTGCACACCCGCGAAACAGACGCCCGAAACATACCCCGTAACATACCCCCGAAATTGCAGGTAAAGTAGCTCATGATGCCGCGAAACATACCCGAAACATACCCCCCGAAACATACCCGCGAAACATACCCTGATCGCAACACCTGTCGCCCGCCCTCCCCCTTAAAACACAAACCCATATAGTCTTATAACCCCCAAAACCCTACTCTAATCATTAAGGTCCCTCTGTAACTCTTCAACTCTCATCCGGCTTTGAGGTACATCCACTCGGCGATTACGCGGTGGTATGGCAGCCATGATTCTTGGTTGGAATTTATTGAAATAGGGTTTAGGGTTTAGTGTTTAGGGTTTAGGGTTTGTTTAGGGTTTCGGGTTTAGGGTTTAGGGTTTAGGGTTTAGGGTGTCAAAATCCTCGTACGGGCATAAGCATCTCTGGTGAAACCGTGCGGTATCTGCAAGGCCAGACAGGCCAAGGCCTTTTTGTCCCGGCTGATCCGTGGGCGATGGTTGCAAGACTCCAGCTTGCCTCAGCTACTGAACACGCAGTTCCCAGAGACTCCAATACTCCTTAATTGAGGAATACGTAGTCCTTACAAAGCATGTAAGGACCCCACTCCTAAACTCTAAACCCTAAACCCTTCAAGGGGATATTCCTTAGTTAAGGGGTATTGGAGTCCCTGAGTTCACTTCTAGACAACAGCCTCTGCTGCACAATTTCTGTGCCCCCGCGCGGCCGTTGTGGCCACTTTGGAGCTGTCTGGGTTTAGGGTTTAGGGTTTAGGGTTTAGGGTGTAGGGTGTAGGGTTTAGGGTTTAGGGTTTAGGGTTTAGGGTTTAGGGTTTAGGGTTTAGGGTTTAGGGTTTAGGGTTTAGGGTCTAGGGTTTAGGGTTTAGGGTTTAGGCTTTAGGGTTTAGGGTTTCGGTCAAGCCGTAGCACCAGCTTCCAGAGCTTTTGGATGCTACAGGCTCATTCCGGCCCCCCAAAGTCTGTCGGCCACCCAGTAAACTTCCTCTCCCAGCATTTTGTTCCAGGGATGCCCTAAACACTGAACCTAAACCCGAAACCCTAAACCCTAAACCCCAAAACCCTAAACCCGAGACCCTAAACCCTAAACCCCAAACCCCAAACCCTAAACCCTAAAGCCTCTGGCAGACCTCCCCCACATTCCTACTCGAATCGAAGCACTGGATGCCAATTCGGGCAGAGCCCTTGGCGCCTACTATCGGGGCCGGAATAATCACTCATAGCATTCCGTGAGGGCCCCTTTAGAATTAGCCCCAAAACCCTATTCTAATTCTTTAGGCCCCTATATTAAGCCCTTAGAGGCGACAGTGCGGTAGATACTCGTCGGAGACAGTCGGCAGGTCCTCGAAATTTGCAAAATGCTTTGCTTGTGTTTTTCTCTTTCTTTCTTCCAAGACGCAGAAGTGCCACACGATTCTGCAACTCAACCGTAAAGGCTCTATCAAGACATGCACTGCAAAGCACGAGGAAGCCTTTGAAGCCTTTGTTCGTGGCCCGCTTCGGCAAGAGCTTCTGGGTCAGGCTGCCATGTGGGTGCAGGATTTCGGACTTTATGCTTGCTGCATAAAGGGTTCAGGGTTTAGGGTTTAGGGTTCAGGGTTCAGGGTTCAGGGACTACGATGCTAGAGTCCAGTATACTACCGAGTACCACCGCCTTAGTTTTCCCAGACATTGTGTGTGTGTGTGTTTTTCATCCTAATCTGCTAAGCTTCAGCTGCCGCTGTCCAGGTGGAGTCCTCATCTCACTACAATGTACATCACTTAGATGATGATTCTTGCGACTATTCTTCTCATGACAATGACGAAACTACCCTAGAGCCCTAGAAGCTGAGCAGCCAGATCAGTTGAACAAAAAGATGTACATCTTCTAGCTTCAAAGCCTCATTCAGAAGTCATTGTTCAGGAGTCATTGTAGCCACCGATTTTTTTCAGCTGGGCATCGCGTGAAAAGGCACAAAAGCCGGAAGGAAGCTCTTGAAAGCCCCGGCATACAGGCTCCCCAAACCAGCAATCGACACCATAAGCCTCCAGAAGACTTCGCCTACAGACCTGAAATCCAGATTGACACGCGACTGCCTTTGGCCTACGCTTTCGTCGTGGCGATGCCCTTTCTCACCCTCAGCATGGATGCCTTAGCCCCACGGCTGCTTGAACTTGGGTTTAGGGGGTAGGGTTTAGGGTTTAGGGTTTAGGGTTTAGGGTCTAGGGTCTAGGGTCTAGGGTTTAGGGTTTAGGGTTAGTAAAGACTGAATTTGGGTTCAGGGAGATTACACTGACTGCAGCATGGTTCAGAGTGGGTTTGAGGTCACTGTTGGTGCCAGGTTAAGGCGTTTGGAGGCCTTATAGAGGTCATGGCGTCTAAGTATCCACCGATGCTTTTGGAAGCTTCGCCGGAAGTCCATAGACATGCGCTGCAAAGTGTTTCAAACCCTAAACCCCAAACCCCAAACCCCAAACCCCAAACCCTAAACCCTAACACCCTAAACCCTAAACCCCAAACCCTAAACCCTAAACCCTAAACCCTAAACCCCTAAACCCTAAACCCAACGGTGTTTCTTCGAAGTCGAGCCTTGCAATTTCTTCATGAGCTTTCCGGGAATAGTTCTTGTGGGGAAAGCGTCTGACTGAGGCTGGGCTGATCCTCAAGTCGCAGGCGCCTGCGGAGTGTTCGGAAATGCGTTCTTCGAGGTTTAGGGTTTGGGGTCTAGGGTTTAGGGTTTAGGGTTTCTTTTTATCTCCGGCAAGTTCACCCCCCCGCCCCCCCGCCCAACAAAAAAAGCAACGAAGCAAAGGAGCTCCCTTGGGGCTACGCGGGCTGCTACTTCCTTGGAGGGGTCTTGGGCATGACCGGGGGCTGGGGGATGGCAGCTCGGCTTCAAGACCTTGGGCTATGGGTTTAGGGTTTAGGGTTTAGGGTTTAGGGTTTAGGGTTTAGGGTTTAGGGTTTAGGGTTCTGGGTAGCTCTGTCCCGGGTAGGGGAGGGGAGCAGGGAAGGGCGTACAAAAGGCGGAAAGGGAGGTTAGGGGGGTGGGGAGAGGGGTTGCGTCCGTCCCACATGCCCCCTGGTCCATTCCGAGCATGTATTCGTAGTGCAAAATGCTGCACGGATTGTGGTAGGGGTTTGGGGTCTTGGAATGCGGGGACACTGTGCGGATTAAGGTTTGAAAAAACGGGAGGGTCGTGGGTTTGCGGTTTGTGGCTTTTGGCCCTATCTTCCTAAAGCCCGCTGGTCCAAGAAAGGCAGGCAAGAAACCTTTGGATTGCAGAAGGACCTTCTTCTGACTTCCGATCCTCCGTGACTAACATAGAATACAGTATAAATGCCGTGCATTTCCAGTAGAATGTAGCCCAAATTACAAAAGCACAAGGTAGTGATGTGGCTTGCCGTGCGCCTCTGTGACATACCAGTTGGCACGTCGACTTCCCCACTCCTGGCGCCCTGGTCTTCTGAGTTTGGGGTGTTGAACTTGGTGCGGGCTGGGCTTTGTAAAAGGATCGTTCCTGAGCAGCGGCCAATATTCGAGTTACGCTAACGTAATGTATTGTGCTTTGCTGCAGGCTGCCCTTGTCGAACAAAGGAAGACTCACAGTTTTCGCAGTTAGGGCGTGTGCACAGAGCATGTCAAGCTTGGCTTAAAGACCTTTGAAGGCCGTCTCTGGAAAATCCCCAAATCCCTGCAACTCAGGATCATGGTTGGACACTGTTGATCTTCCTTGGCTTCGTGGTCCTCAGCTTCTCGGGGGTCTTGGTCAGCGTTCGGGCCTACCAAGCTGGCCTGGTTCCTGCAGGGCTCTGGTTCCTCAGCACCTGCTTCCTCCTGTGCCTCACCCGTGGTGGCTGGGAGCGGTCTTCTTCTGAAGTACCATCTATCACTGAAGCATCAGCAGTCGCGCCTGCTGCAGAAGACTCAGTTGCCCAGCCATTAGAGACCCCGCCCGACGCAGACAATGTCAAAAATGACACTTGAGTGGGACAGGAGGGCGCGGCTGCTTCCATGTTGGAGCATCTTCTTGGAGCTGTTATCTATATCCCCCTTGGGAATTGTGTTTTAATTTTTGTTTATATAAAACCCAGGAGGATATTTAAAAACTAATATTTCTATGAAGGTTCTAGGGGGGGGGGGGTAAAGTTATCTGCTTGGAGCTGTTTAGTCTCCTTTCACGGCTCTGTTGCACCCGTGAACAGTACGCTGTGGGACCAAATGAACCCTAAAATTGGGGTCATTTCCCCATGACTACTTTCATTCCTAATAAGGTATGATGAACCACAAATCCAATTAAGGGTTCATTTAGCCCCCAAGCTTCTTTTAAAGAGGCGGCCGCAAGGTCTGTTAGTCAAGTCCGCAGCGTCCAGATGTACTGCCGCGGGAGCTGGCCAAAACACAGGGTTAAGGGTTTAGGGTTTAGGGTTTAGGGTTAAGGGTTTAGGGTTTAGGGTTTAGGGTTTAGGGCCCCTGAAGTTGCAGAGCTTATTCTTTCTTGCTTTCTTCGCTGGCACGCATTCGCCTTAGAACCCAGATCTTCCAAACCAGCTCGGTGCTGCAATCAATCTCAATTCAGTGTGTGTTGCCCTTGTACTGCAGTTGGAGAAACGATCTATACGTGGCTACGAACGGACTTCGGAAGATCTTGAGAAGATTTTTCGGCCAAGCTGGCCCATGCACAATCCCAACGGCCGGTGCTGCAATAGGAGTCCTCCTCAGGGCGCGGGAGTGTCAGGTAGTTGGTAAGCCACGCTGCGCAAAAGCACAGCAAAGTGCTACCCAAGCCAAGTGTGTAGGATCTTTGGACTCCCTTCTCTGGTAAAGCCAGAAAAAGAGATGCACAGTTCCGATTCCACCTTGTCCCTGCGACCTAAGCCAACAGAACGTCGTCATGAACCCAACCCTTACCCGAGCCACTTTACAGAAGCCCCATGCAAAGAAAGAAAGAAAGCGACCAAGCGGAGAAAACCCTAAAAACCCTAAAAACCCTAAAAACCCTAAAAACCCTAAAAACCCTAAAAACCCTAAGCCCCAAACCCCAAACCCCAAACCCCAAACCCCAAACCCCAAACCCCAAACCCCAAACCCCAAACCCTAAAACCAAACAAAAAAGGGAAAGAGGCGGCAACCCAAAAGCCCGCAGAAAGGCGCGAGAACTGCATCTTTCCATCAAAGCCTCAAGTGTGAAGCATCGAACTCCCTGAAGGGTTTAGGGTTTAGGGTTCAGGGTTTAGGATTTAGGGTTCAGGGTTTAGGGTTTAGGGTTTGCTTGGATGCCCTCGACTCCCACGGAGTCTTCGCAGCCAGGTTCTTTTTGTATCTAAGCCTGGGTAGGGAATAGTGGGCCCCCCTAAAACATTTGATATTTCCCTATTATTGGGTTTCAGAGGATCAAATTTAGGAGTATATTTTTCAGAGGGTCATAAGTTATATCCCCTTATTGGGTTTAAGAGGATCATATGTAGGAGTGTTTTTGTTCGAGGTTTCTTTAAGGGGGCCATCCTCGAAGCCAATCCCAAAACTTACAAGGTCGTGGAATCTCGGCTGCGGCATGGATTGGTACAAGAGTGACATCCTCGGGCACCCGGTACGGCCTGCATGTTTGAGGGGGAGCAGGGGTTTAGAGGGCTTCGAAGGGTTTATATGTGGTGGGAGCGCCCCTTACGCGACGGGCGCGTTCCATTCGTTTTGGCGATTCTGGTTGATTCTTGGGTTGGGTTGGGGGGGGGGGGGGGGGTTACGTGCTTTTCGAGAGCACAGGGGTTCATGTTCTAGGTTTCGGGTGCACGGTTTGGGGCTTTGGTTTCGCCTGAACCCTAAATGCCGTTAAGCCAGCTGAAGCCGCCACCTTGGCTCAGCCTGGCTGGAACCAGGGTTTAGGGTTTGGGGTTTAGGGTTTAGGGTTTAGGGTTTAGGGTTTAGGGCAAAACGCACATGTCTGCTTAAGAATTGCTATGTTGCAGGGGCCGAAAGTGTGTAACAGTGTCTATTTTCGAGCGACCATGACGTTCCCGCCTAGGCAAAAAGCACATTTTGCCGCGGACGGTCTGAGAAACTTTGTTCAGCTGCACTTGTTGGCAGCTTGGCACAGCTTGGAGAGAGCTCTGAACACATCTGAGTGCATTCGTCGGAACTGAAACTGTCTTATGTACTTCCAGATGCGATCTGCATTCGCTTCGCGATGGCATCCGTCGCTCTTTTTGTTATGCATCCCCTTGGGGATGCTTGCCTTGACATAATGCAGATAGTATGCAGATCGCATCTGGAAGTACATAAGACAGTTTCAGTTCCGACGAATGCACTCAGATGTGTTCAGAGCTCTCTCCAAGCTGTGCCAAGCTGCCAACAAGTGCAGCTGAACAAAGTTTCTCAGACGGTCCGCGGCAAAATGTGCTTTTTGCCTAGGCGGGAACGTCATGGTCGCTCGAAAATAGACACTGTTACACACTTTCGGCCCCTGCAACATAGCAATTCTTAAGCAGACATGTGCGTTTTGCCTGGGTTTCAGCACATTCCACATTCTGGCCATGCCAACAAACACACGTCGCGCTACAGGCGCTCCTACCTTATATGTTCCTGTCAAGCCAGGAGCATGTTCGAAACATGCGAACTTAGCCATTTTGGCTACAAGCCCTTGTCTACCTTGAGTCTACATGGCAGGGTCAACTGTTGGAGGCACCGATGAGATCTCGAAGACTTCTTGGCAGCGATGGCGGCCTTTACCGTACTTGCTGGTCAGCATTCTGAATGCCACAGCGGCAGTTTTGCTCTATCCTGCAAGTGTAGAGCTCTCCGCTGCTGACGACGTTAACAGTGCCTCGTGCGATGATTTCACCCGGTTCTCCTTCTGCATGCTCATGTCGGCGAGTTTTTGGGCTGGTTGCGTGGCAGCCTCTCTTACGACCAAAGTGCAAGCTTCAGCTCACGCAAAGTCAGCTTGCGGCTGCGCCATGGCTATTTGGTTTCATTCCATGTTGGCATCCATGAGCATGCGCAGTCCAAGTTGCAGGTACGGCCTCGCACCCGCACATTGGTATGAAACCTTTGCAGTGTGCAGATTGGTGTCGAAAACCATCGGTTTGCTCTGGATTCAGATGCTCATTGCTTCACAGCTGAATCTGCTGGAGCAGTCCTCAAACAGGCAATACCGCGCACGGTGCTTCCACAAGTTTGTCATGGTGCAAATCGCCGCCTCTGCATCGACTGCACTTCTGATGCTTGTTGGCCGGATTGTCCCTGGTCTTTGGCCGACTGCAATGCTGTTGATTGTGCTGATAGCTGTCTTGGCCGCATTGTGCAACCTGGCAGCAAGCAGGGTGGCCATCGGCTCCCTAGCCAAGACCTTCTTCCAGTTGCAGCGCACGTTGCACGCTGCAGAGCTTAACGACACGCCGGTGCCTGTGAGGTCTTCCTTGAGACTGGCTCGAAGATTTGCTGCTTTGCAAGTGATGGGCGTGGCTTTCAGCTTCCTGCTCACGCTCTTACCAGTTATCGGACTTGTCATTTGTTGCTTGTTCTTCGATCCTTTCGACTCACCAGGTTTTGATGTTGATGACTATCATGCGATCCGGGCTATAGCCAGCATGGATCCGTATGTTATTGTTTTCTGGCGAGAATCAGGCCTGAAAGTGAGGGAGGGAGACACTGGAAATCCGCTGGCTTGGTTCACTGTTTTCTTTCAGGCTTTTGTTGTGGTTGGGAACGCGGCGGTGGTGCTGCTCCTTTCTGGGGGCAACAGACTGCCCCAGGTAAACAAGCAACCGTGCCAATGCTGCGGATGGACGTGTTGCTGCGTACGCCTCCGACAGAGCAGAGCAGTGCCCGCAAAGGAACCCGACTGGAGTCCACTTTGGAAAGAGAAAGTCGAAGAGCTCGCGTTGCGGGGCATAACTCTGCGCAGCGATTTGCTCTTCTGTCAAAGAGAGCTTTTCTCCATGCCAGGCTGGCAATATGTGCCCTGTGAACACAAAACTAGAGATGTGGTCCGCAGGGCGATCATTCCTCTCACCAGCAAGGAGGAATCTTCATATGCAGTGTCAATGTTTAACAGGGAAGGTTCTCGAAGACCCCAGGTCATGGTGACCCACAACTGGGGCAATTGTTTCAAAGACTTGCTGGCAGCCGTAATTTCCGATGCACTGCAAGAGTGCAGCTTCAGCTTGGCAGCAAGGCTACTGGAGGACGACTTCGATTTCCTTTGTCAGCTCCTGGCTAAGAGTGGTCGCTTAGGTGACACGTATTGGATTTGCGCATTTGCGGTGAACCAGCATGCTTGCATCTGCCACAGCAACCCTTACGACCGGGACCCCATTACAAATGAGTTGCATCCGGTCTGCAACTGCAGCAGCGTGAACATTATTGATCCAGATGGCAGAAGTACTTCATCAGAGATCAACAAGTTCGATGACATGATGTACCACCTTGCAGGAGCCGGAGGCTGCAGGCAGGTAATTGCGGTGGACGAGTCTCTTGATTTGTTTCGTCGTGCTTGGTGTGTCGCTGAGATTGCAGAAGCCAAGCGTCTGCATATGAACCAGGCGCTGAAACTTGCATCCAGAGCGACCATCATGCAGCGCGCACGCACCTTAGAGAACTTAGATGTTCGGAGCATGTCTGCATCTTCCGAAGCGGACAAAGAGCTCATACTTAACAAGATCCATCAAAGCAGGAACATTGAGCAGTTCAATGCGGAGCTTCAATCCCTCATTTTTGATCCGAAGGCCGGCCTGCTGGAGTCCTGGAACGCCATGGACAGTTTGCAGCAAACTGGAGAAGTCGGCCGGTTAATTCGATGGGGACAGGCGGATGCAGGCACCGGCAAGGTCTGGAAAGCATGGGAAGCCCATGGTTGATCCTACTGTACTGTCCGGTTTAGGGTTTAGGGTTTAGGGTTTAGGGTTTAGGGTTTAGGGTTTAGGGTTTAGGGTTTAGGGTTTAGGGTTTAGGGTTTAGGGTTTAGGGTTTAGGGTTTACTGTCCCCGATTGCGATGTTGATTTTGTACGTGCCAAATGAGGCAGGATGCATGTTTTAAAGCTTGCCACAACCTGAAAGGCCGCAAAGCCGTGTCTTGCATCACGTTTCATGGCTTGCCAGCAGGCCCGAGAGTCAGCCTGTGCAGTTTAGACCAAAAGACCTCCTTGCCAGGATGAGCTATTGGGCCTTCTAATCCCCAGAATCAACCCTACAAAGGGGCTATTTCAGGGAGTATAAGGTATACTAGCCCATCCTCCTTAGCGGGTCCTTGAGCACAAAGGCTGGTTTGTGGGGAACCCCATCGGCCCCACAGAAGAGCTCTTCGAAGCATCGGCATGACCTATCGTTGTCAACAGAAGTGTGATTCTTAACCCTAAACCCTAAACCCTAAACCCTAAACCCTAAACCCTAAACCCTAAACCCTAAACCCTAAACCAATGTTGTCTGGCAAATCGGCAATTTCAGAACCCCAAGAAGTCCAAAACCCAACTTTGCACCCACAAGCTGCCCTCAGGATCCGACAAGACCCCTCCCAAACCGGAGGCGACCTGTGAAGTTGAGTTTCGACAGTCTGGACTTGGGATGTTCCCCCCTTCTACTGACGGCTCCTTAGTAGGTTTAGGGTTTAGGGTTTAGGGTTTAGGGTTTAGGGTTTAGGGTTTAGGGTTTACGGTTTAGCGAGTAGCCCCTTATTATAATCCCGATTAAGGGCTGTTAGTATAAGGGTGAACATCCCAAGCTTAGACCGCTTTGGAAAGTGCGCCCCAGGTCCGTTTCCCACCGCCGGAAGCGGATGTTGGCGAACGTGACGGGAACTCAGGCGTTCAAAAAAGCAAGAAGAGAAAAAAGAGAAAGAGAGAGAGAGAGAGAGAGAGTGAGAGAGAGAGTGAGAGAGAGTGAGAGAGAGTGAGAGAAGAAAAACACACGCGAGCGAGAGATGATACACCTTCCCCTGAAGCTTCCCACGTTGGGGCATTTGGGGGTGGGGGGGGGGGGGGGGGGGCTGGAGGCTTCGATGGCACCCCACACCCGAAGTGAACAACATGCCGAGATGACCTGTCCCATGCTGCGTCTTCCTGGAATCATGTTGCGCTTACTGCTGCAGTTGGTTCGCTTTTCAGCAGCTGCCTTCGTACCCTGTTAGGTGCCAGTTTGGGGTTCAGTGTCCCTCATTTGGTTTTTGAGCTGAAGCCAGCGCACGTCTCAGGACGCTGACGTGTTTCAGGTGTCAAGGTTCAAGTGTTTGGGGATCAGGGCGTGAGGTAGTTACGGGAAGCTTTGGAGTTTTGATTCCCCCAAACCACAAAACCTACACATCACACACGCTCATGTTGCTCACCACTGGTGCATGGCTACAGGCTCCACCTTGCTGCCGCGACGGGAGCCTCCACCAAGGAAAAAGACTTGTGACTGAGGCTGGGAACTTCCTTCAGTATGGCTGTAAATCCCTAAGCCCTATAAACCCTAAACCCGAAACCCTAAACCCTAAACCCCAAACCCCAAACCCCAAACCCCAAACCCTGCCAAACCGCCAACGCGGGACAGCCTCGGCATGGGCATCACGATTGCCTGTTCTCGCGCCGCCCCTTGCGGCTCAGAAGGGCGCAGAAGTTGCGCAATCGCCGGCAATGTGATGGCGCCGAATCGGCGCCTGTGAGGACGCATGCTCAGGGGGTTTAGGGATTGGCGGAAACCCTAAACCCTAAACCCTAAACCCTAGACCCTAGACCCTAGACCCTAAACCCTAAACCCTAAATCCTAAACCCTAAAGAGCTTACACCCGCAGCTTAAAGCAGTTGAACCCATCCTAAAACCGTGATGTTCAATTGTTCGTGCGCAACTGGTCGTTGATGTAGTTTAGGGTTTAGGGTTAGGGTTTAGGGTTAGGGTTTAGGGTTTAGGGTTAAGGGTTAAGGGTCTAGGGTTTAGGGTTTAGGGTTTAGGGTTTAGGGTTCAGGGTTCAGGGTTCAGGGTAGCAGGCCGATGTTGTGTTAAGACCCCGAGAAACACTCACAGTCCGTATCTTTGGGAGTGCATTTGTCTGTTTTCAGCAAAGTCTGGCCCTCTAAGCAAAAACGTCATAGATGAGGTGAGGTTATGCAAAATGACTCAGCCATGAGGGCCAAGTCTCTGTGGCCTCAACACGCACCGTTCCTTTGGCAACGACGCTCTTCAGGCTGCTGAGGCTTCATAATCATACGGTCCAAGCTCAACAATTTCAAGGGTGACTGCAAGGGCTAGGGTGGCACTCCGTAGTTTCACAATCCTTAGGCTACTTCCCAGCTCTGCTTTGATGCTGTCCCGCCAAAGAGGAAAGAGTCTCACCACCACGCCACACCACTCCCATCCCACAAGCAAGTGACCTTTACACACTTTATCGTTTATGTTTTGGGTGGGGGGGGCTGGTTGAATCTCCTTCCGACCTACTAACAAGGGTATGATTTGTGGTTCACTAGCGTCAGAGAGTAAGGACGGAATGTACAATGCTCTCTTCCCCTTGTACCCACCTTTATGTTTAGTGTAGGGAGTTAAAAGTGCCGCCCCCAAGCCGAAGGATTGAAGTGATGATCAGAGGCTCACATCTGTGGACGATGGTGCGCGCCACAGACCCCAAAACCCTCAAGACCTAGTAGCTAAACCTTGGGTTCTCCCACATTTTGTTTGTTGGGGGCGGGGCGGGGGGGGAGGGGGTATGCAGGCGGGTCGTAAAGATCAGAAGCCCTTCTGGAAGCAACCAAGGCAGGTATCCGCTAGACCTCCAGTATTCAGCCTTCACCCGAGACCTTCTTTCCGGGATGATGGAAACGAAAATGGACACTCCTAGTACAGGGCGCCATCAAGTGTAAACCTTGGCCATCTGTCGTGAAATCTGAATCTTGCCTGGAACCGAGTAGGCTAATGTTATTTTGAGAGCGTCGACCTGAAAATCCAGGACGGGTGCTCCATGACCTGACGGCGAACATGCTGCTGCAAAGGTGGGTCTGAAGCTTGAGATTAGGTACGCTAGGGTGCGTGTTTTTGTTGGCTCCTCCTTTGGTGGAGATGACGCAGAGTTTTGGGGGAACTCTTGGAGTTCTCTGGAGCAGAGTGTTGTGCTGCATACTGCATGGTGGTTTCTGCTCCATTCTGCTCCAGCAGTCTGCTGCCGCTGCCACCCCTTTCCTACTGCCTTGTACTCCTTTGTGAAGGGCTGGATGCCAGGGTTTAGGGTTTAGGGTTTAGCGTCGGACCAATCCGGGACTACGATGGGGTTTTGTAGTGTCGGGGTGAAGCACCGTTTGAGCATAACCCGCCGTAAGTGCCAGTTTCAAGAATATGCACAGCCCTGGTCTGGTGCGGCACTCGAGCATTAAGGATAGAGAAGCGGGGACCAAGATCAAGAGAACACTGAGGCAGTGCCCTGATCCTTGAGCCCCCAAGCCCCTTAGGGTCCGAGTCACTCTCGAACCCAAGGGCCCCCAAAACCCATACTAACTCTTTTTTTGGCTCGCAGCAGTAAGAGTCAAGCGCCAAGCGCTCAAAGGTTAGGTCGCCTAGCGTTATGGCTGTAGCTGTCTGGAATTGCCAGGCTTGGCTGCAGCCACTTGCAGATGAAGTGCGCGACTGCCAGCTGAGCCAGGACAGGGGTTCTTGGGCTCAGGTTTTGAGGGCTCACGGGTTCTAGGGTTTGGAAGGCTTTTGGGCTTTTGCTCGTGAGATCCCTTGAGAGCGCTTCGCTAGTCGTGTGTGTTTCTTTTGGGTCGGCAGGGTTTTCAAAACTGAACTTGACAGCTTGCAACTCTTCGCACCGCGCCCGCTCTCAAGAACTGTCCACCATCGGGCAGAGCCCGGTAAAGATTTTGCAGCGCGCACAGCACAAACACTTTGCATGGACTTGCGCACGAATTGAGTTTCTTTGAACAGCCCTGTAGAAACTTTGCAATTTGCTGGTAGCTGCTGTACGTCGGCAAGGCTCAGGATGCTGAACTCGCAAAGGTTTCACCCGCATCCCTGGCAAGCCCTGAGCCGAAACCAGGGTTTGTGGTTGAGGCTGGGGGCAGACTTCGTGAACCAACGAACTTCAAAACATGTCCTGATGACATCTCCAACTATCCCCAGGCCGCCAGGTCCCGTTGAAGCCCCACAGGCCCCTGTAGAAAGGGGCAGGCTTGAGCTCTGCAGTTTGCCTTGCAACTGAAAGCAGCGAACGATTTCCGCAAACCCCTGAAGCCTGAATAGTCTAGCTTCCAAGCTGAACTTAAGACATCGCCACGCCCCAGGAGCTGGCGCTTCATGGCCTTCAGCCTCTGCAGATCATGTCTCCTCTGCGATGGCCCCACAGGGCAAGGAACACCCCACTTGCGGGAGCTTCCGGTGCCTCGCTACGGTTTGCCAAGGCTTGTGAGCCCATGGCCCGCTGGTGAGAGCTCAAATATTTCGTGGCCGCAGGTGCTGGTTTATGTTTGCTTAGGTTCATTGTGCTGTGGAACGAAGGCTTGGTACAACCGCCACAGCCCTTCCCATCCACTTGTCAAACGGCGCCAGGAAGGTCGTTCGATTGTTTAGCGTTTAGGGACTTAGGCTTGGGGGTTTGCAAGAACTGAGTGTGTGACTGTTGGGCCCGATTCGGTGCGATGCTGTCGCTGACACATCGCAGGTGCTCCCGCGCTGGATTGCATATGCGGGCCTTCTGCAGACAGAGCGTGGTTCCGAAATGCTTCGAAAAGGTGTTCATCTTTTCACGAGCCACACTACTCTCTGACAGGAAGGTGGTGGGATGGATGCCAACGTCAGCAGATCGTATTCTGACACGTTTCGTCGCTGTCACTGCTCCGCGCTTTGATCCGTTCCGCAACGCTTCACTTCGCTTGACTCTGCTTTCCCAAAACACCTAAGCGA